ACCGAATAGTTTCTCTAGTGTGAGAAACTGAAAGTGTAAATAAGGACTAAAAGGTATAATAGATAATGTGAAATAGGAAAAAAAGGTGCAAAGGAGTGGGGGAAGTGGGAGGGGGAGGGGAACGGAAAGAAGGGAAAGAAAAAATTACGAGAAAAGGAAAAATGGAAACAAAGTCTTTGTAAATAGGGAAGGGTAGAGGGGGTGAAGGGAGGGCAGGGAATGGGGGAAAAATAAGAACCAAGATACATCATGTAGAGGTACAAGTTCCCAGTGATATGTGTAAATGTATTGTATACCTAAAATGTACCAATAAAAGAATTTAAGGAAAGGGAAAAAAAAGAATTTAGTGTTTGACAAGACAGAGGAATTCTATAGAAAAGGAATGTAGGATAATTGCATTTGTGAACGAGGGACATAAGGTGTGACTTGCTCATTACAGGGTAGATCAGAAATTGAGGACCCACTCATGCTGGTTTACCAGGACTTTCGTAGTTTTAGCATTGAAATTCCTCAGTCTCGGCACATGGTTGGTGACCCTATGTGGTTACCTGAGTCCTAGGTCCCCATGCTGTCCCCTAGCCAGGTTACAGAGGCCCAGCTTCCCTCTCCCATTTGCTCTGCTGTGTCTGCTCCCTGGTCATCTGAGACAGCAGAAGCTAACAAGCCACCCGGGCTGATAGTGGTGCTTAATGTTTCCTTAATTACCTGTTGTTACCTGGGTTAAATTTCTCCCTCTTATCCAAGCTGTCTACAGTGCAGCTTAGTTCTGTGATTCTTATCAGCTAAAATTGTAAGAGGTTTGAGCAGAACTTTTCACTCTACTCGTACCTGAACTTTGTTTACGGTTAATTTATCATCGAGGGGGGGATTTAGACTGTTGGCTGAGGTGTCGCTGAAAAGAAAACCGTGCCACCTTGCATTTTTCCAGCAAGACAACAGAGCTCTTCTGCACACAGACAGTCTTGCTGGATGGTAACAGAACGCTCTAAAATAGGTAAGTGCCTACTGGTTAAACACGGTAAGAGGAAGGGTAAGGAGAAATAACTTCTTTATGAACATTTTTTTCTTGAAATGTCTTGTTTCTCTTAAACTTTGTCTTCAGAGCATAAACTAACGTGAAGATCTAAATTATTTGAAATCAGCGACTGGCAACCAAGCAGCTCAAGAACCCCAAGCAGAGGTGCAGGATCGTGGACCAGCTCCCACTTTAAGTGCCATGAATTAGACAAAAGTATAGGTACATGAGGAATGCTAATATGCTGCATCTTCAAGGGTGGGATTTTTCAAGTTGAGCTCAATTAGACTTAAATTAATACATAGTTTAGACCCATTGGAGTTAAATGTAATAAATAAAGTTCTTGCACTAAGTGTTGGTAGTGTCATTTACTCCATATTATGCTGAATTAAATTATCTTCCCCAAACTACCTACTCTACTTTAGTACTTATTAGACATGTGTCATCATAGGATGAATCTGGGGCTGTTTTGAAACTGAGACTTAGTGTTTATAAGAATCTCCAGGAGAGCTCATTAAATGCTGATTCTGGGGTTCTAGTCCAGAGATTCTGGTTCAGGGGCCGAGATGGGACCCAGGGATCTTTGGCATTAGAAGGAATCAGCCTCTGGTCTGGGGTGGATGATCTGAGGGTTTGCTGTTTACATCTGCTATTGGGTTACCATCTGTGATGTTTTAGAAATGCAGGATTTCAGGCTGTACCCCAGGTCTCCTGCATCAGGATCTATAATTTGATAAGATCCCGAGGTGATCCATGTATGCATTAAGATCTGAGGTGCATGATTCAACAAACATCGTGTTCAATTCAGAAATTGGAACCAAGTGAGAGCTATATGTGAATGGAAACCTAGAGCAAGCTTTCTTTCATGGGAGCTTCTAACATGTACTCAACATGTATTTGTTAGAAAAATGTATTTTTGTGAGAAAGGGACTACAGTTCTATCGTGTAGGCTAACTTGCATTGACAGAAGCTCCTGAATAAGCCAGAGGTCTAGGTAAGTGTTAGAGTAGATAAATAAAGCAGTTTTATACATCAGTCAATAAGTATTTATTAGGCATTTACTGTGTACCCAGTCTGCTTCTCTTGTTCTGTTAGGGGAAAGAAAGTTAATATAAAGGAGACCTTTAAAGGATAATGAAATGCCCCGATGTTATGTGGTCATTTGGTGTTTGTAACCAGAGTTAAAAGAAGGGGAAGCAGACTAGAAGGGTCAGAGGAACTCCGTGTAGAAGGGGTGAGCTGATCAGGAAAGTGTAGGTGGGATTTAGCTAGACTGACAGGAAGCCTTCCCAGAAGGGAGCGCGCCGCGCGCCGAGTCAAACTGAAAACGGGTTTGATTTGTCTGTGAGATGGAGAGGTGAATGGGCCTCCTGTGATGAGGGTCTAAACCGAGCTGGAGCAGGAAACTAAAAGGTTATGCAGAATGAAACTAAACCAGAGATCATTTTGAAAGTCAGAAGTAGAAGTTGCTCTGCATGTATTTAGTAGATGCTAATTATTTCCCTTAGTATCTGCTCTTTTTTTTTCTTGTAAGAGGTCATTGTTTTGTTTTTTAACTTGGCCCCATGGCTGACAAAAACGTAGATAACATTTGCCAAGCTCCTTTGCAGGAGGTGTGATCACATGACTATGTTTGTACTGATGAGACATGAACAGAAATGTCAGCTGTGACTTCTCTTTAAAGATGATGGGGGCTCATCCTTCTTTCCATCTCTCCCTTCTTGTTAACTAAGTGGTGATGAGGAACTGGAGTTCAGGCAGTCATTTTGGACCTGAACATGGAAGTCACAAGCTAAGGTGACCCTGCCATGTGACCTGGACTGCTTTCTGTGGTCTTTAACCTGACAGAGACTATGAATGAGATGTGATTTTCTTAAGCCACTATTACTGTACTTGGGCTTTACTGCCATGAACAGAGAAACAAAGTCTGAGTAAAACATGCAATTCAAAGTAAAAAAAGGCAAGGTGTTATGCAATCATGGTTTGGACAAGTGTCTCCTGAAGGCCATGTGTTTAAAGGCTTGGTTCCCAGCCAAAGCTGCTCTTGGGAGGTTGGTGGAACCTTTCAGAGATGGCCCCTAGAGAGGAAGTTAGGTCGCTGGGATTTGTCCTTGCAGGGGATGCTGGGACCACAGCCCCTTCCTCTTCCTCTCTATAGCGTCCTGGCCATGGGCAAATGGCTCAATCCCACCACGCTCTCCCATCACACTGTGCTGCCACAAATCCAGATCAACAGGACCATCAGTCATTGACTGACACCTCCAAAACTGTGAGCCAAGACAAACCTTTTCACTTTATGAGTTGATTTATTTGGGGCATTTGCTCCAGTGGTAGAAAGCTGACTAACATAGACACCACCCCGGTTCTGTCTCTCAAAAGCCCTATGACCCTAAGACACTAACTATCTAATTAATCTCTTTCAACCTTTGTCTCCCAACCTGTAAAATAAGGCAGATGTTTCTCATGGGCAGTTGTGAAAAGCAAATGCTATTAAATATATAAGGTATCTAGCACAGTGCTGATGCACAGTACATCTTAATAAATGTACCCTAACTGTATGTGGGGCAGATCAGCAGACCAATTTGAAACACAAGGGCAGCTGTGGAAGTTGCAAGGGCATTCACATCTAAAACCGGAAGCCATGGACACCATGGTTTGGAAAGCAAAGAGATCAGAAGCAGGGAGGGTCTTCAGAAACTTCAAACCTGGCTTATGGCACTAGCAGAGAACCAAAGTAGATATTTATTGAGCCCCATGTACATGCCAGGTACTTCTGGGAATTAAATCCACAATAATAAGCAAAAGCACTCATGCTTCTACTCAGAATTTTCAGCCTGGTAAGGAAGCCAGGCATTTAACTCCTAACGAGCGATTCTCTAATGACAGCCTACAGTGAGGGCCCTGAAGGAGAGGGACAGAATGTTCTGTGAGGTTGTAACAGAGGGATCTACCCTAGCTTTCGGATGAAGCTAGGATTTGAAGGTCCAACCTGGGATAACAAAGTGAAGGGAACCAGAAAGTACATTCCCCTTAGGGAAAAGAAGAGCAAAGACCTTGAGAAAAAATAGCACAATGCGTTCTTCAAATGAAGACAGAGCCTGAGGGTAGTGAGCCCAGGGAGCCTGATCTCCCAGGGCTGGAGAGGTGGGCAGGAGCCAGTGCTGTGAGGCCTCGAAGCCCAGCAGGAAGAGATTAACCTGTGGATAGCCAGAAGCTGCTGGCATGGCCAAAGATGCCAGATCACCTGGGACAGATGGCAGGACTTTCAGTGCTAAAACTGGGGTGGCCTCTGCAAATCAGGGGGCTGGTGGCCCCAGGAGTTATAGGATCTGATTCCTTTTTCCTTAAAGGTCACACTCTGGCTGCTGGGTAGAAAATTAAGTGTAAGAAGGCAGGAGCAGGACTGATAGCACCAGTTAGGAGATTGTGGGAGAATCCAGGGGAGAGAGAGTGGTAGCTTCTGTTGGGGTGGTGACAATGGAACTGAGAACAAAAGGATGGATTTGAGAGAGAGTTAGGAGGTAAAATTGGCAGGAGCTGGTGAGAAGTGGGAAAAGCTACCTCTAAGACCACATGGACTCACTGAAATAGAAAAGTGAAATCTGGATTCAAATCCCACAGGGTTCTACTCTGTATTATTCTGAGCACTGAAACAGGAGGGTGGATCCAAGGGGTTGCTGCCTTGGCCAAAGTGTAAACTATCTGATCTGGACCTTAGTTTTAAGAATCAAAGGCTACAAAGAGGCAAAGCATTGCTCTTTCGCTGCTACCTTTAGGCAAGGGCCTTTTAAACCACCTCGGATCAATATTTTCCCAAGGTAAACCGACCTTCTCTGCAGCTTAACAGCTATTCTTAACCCCAAACAGAGCCCTCATGGAGAAAGTCAAGAGCTCTTTCACTGGATATGTTCTAAATGTTTTTCTTCCCACTAGAAAGTCTCTTGATAGTTTCCACAAGTTCTTATCTAGGTTTCATTGGCTAAGATCTCTGCTCCTGGTAGTGCTTTCCACTAATCACTTGCTTCTGCCATACTTGGAAACTTATGTACTAAAGATACTTCAGGAAATTATTGTTTACTTATGATTGTCATTGTGGTTTGTGAGAATTGTAACACTTTTTGCAAGGTATAAACAAACAATCTATATAACCTTTGAATTGCAGTACTCTATTTTTGCACCACAAAACTGATTGGTGGCTTTAGAAATAAGAGACTTTAGACTTGTGAGCCAGGCCAACGACAGTGAAAAAGCTTACAGAATCAAAGTTTATGTGTAATTATTTTTCTGCTTTGTTTTTCTCTAGTTGTATTTAAAGTCTCTGATAACCCTGCCGGTCCTTTTGGTGTATTTGTGCATTAATAAAGTACGTACAAGTTTTCTTTCCAAAAATATTTAGCATGTAAAATTATTAAGTTTTATTATAAAAGAGCCCAATGATACCCCGTAGCACCTAGTGATTTTTAACTTGCATTAATGGATTTCACTAACTATACTGTTAAGGAGATAATTCTGAAAATCTCCTGATTGTGACTAGGATAAGTTTAGATGATTTGGTGGTCAAATGCATATGGGGCAGGGGCAGACATGTTTCTTTTTACCTTTTAAAGGTAGCAATGAATCCTGCCTCCATCTCTGAGGCTAATTCATTCTATCAAAAAAGCTAAAAGGTCCCAGTACCAAAAAAAAAAAAAAAAAGCTAAAAGGTGGCTCAATACCTAGAATCTCCAAGGAAGTAGATTTGGAGATTATGTAGCACCCACCCAGGAGCACCCCACTGTCAGGGTCTTCTTGGACCTCCTCAGCACCCACAGGTTCTCCGTAATGTGATCTCAGGCTCCATCATTCCGGCCTCTGACCACAGATTCCTGTTCACCCAGCTTGGCTCTGGGCCTCTGCCCCTTGGACCCTCCCATTTCCTCCTTCCTCCTCTCCCCATCACTTCTGACACTCCCTCTGTTCCCCCAAACTGGCCCTCCCCTTGGTCTTTGTGCTCCACATGCCCAGCAAAACTAGGTTGGGCTCTGAATGCATTTTTTGCCACACCCATTTTGCGGCTGTTGGGCTTAGATGAAAAAAGAAAAGAATCACACAGCTCTGTACGGAAAGGTAATGCAAAACATATGACCTCCAGCCCTCTGAGTCACTGGAAATCCCATCTTAGCTCCCTGAGCAGTTCCTTATCCCCTTTGCTTCATTTCAAATACATTGTCTTCTTTACACATAAGCCATGAATTACACTGAGTTCACTCACACTTTTTTGGCAGTATAGCGGCGCAGAAGTGATGTGCTCTGCAGTCAATAGAAAGCACACTTCT